CCCCCACACACACACCTGCGGCTGCGGCTGCTGCTGCTCCTACCGGAAGTCCATCTCTTCCGCCTTCCAGGACGGGAAAGAGGCTGCGTGCCCTTAACTCCGCCCACTTCGAAGGCTGGGGTACGGAAGCCGGGAGGAGAAGGAGGAGGAGGAGGGCGGAGCCTGCGGCGGCCAGCGCGTCCTGTCGCGGCGCGTGGAGGCGGGGCGCCGTTGCTAAGCGACGGGGCGCTTCCCTGGTTGCCCAGCAACGGGAGAGGAGGAGGAGGAAGAGGACGGAGCCGCCGAGGACGGGAGGATGAAGGCGCCTGAGTGCCTCTGTCAGATTTGCACCTGCGGGTAAGGGAGGCCCGTGGGGGTGGGGGCGGAAAGAAAAGGGGGGCAGGTGGCTTCTTGAGAGGAAACCGAAGGGGCCGTTCACACGTGACGCCGCTCCCTGCACGGGTGTTCGCAGGACACGGGGGCATTGGGGCTGGAGGAAGGGAGGGAGGCCGGGAGCCGGCTCCCAACCCTCAGCCCTTGGCGGCGGCGGGGGCGGGGGGCCGTTGAGGGACCGCCTCGGCCTACCTCGCAGGGAGGTTGTGCAGGGGAAGGGGAGGGAGAAAGCGGGGGGGGAAAGGGGAGGGGTGCCTCACCTGTGGGCTTCTTCAGCCTCCCCGTTGGGTCCTGCAGAAAAAAAGGGAGGCTTGGGGCTCCCAAAGATCGCCTCTGGGGTAGGGGGTTGTCGGGGGTTGGTTTTTTGGGACTACAACTCCCAGAATCCCCCCAGCCAGTATTCAAGCTAGGGGGATTCTGGGAGTTGTAGTCCAACAGGTGACCTCTCAGCCACTGAGAACTGGGAAGCCCAGAATTCGCATCCCTCTCCTGAGGTGGCCAAGGTCAGGTTTCGGAGTAGAGATTTCCAAAGGACGGAGCAGCGGAAGATCCAGGGGTTGGACTTGATGGCCTTTGAGGTTCCCTTCCAGCTCCGATCTCCAGCGGTTAGTCTGTGAAGGAAAGAAAGGCTGAAATGCCACCACCTCCCCTGCCTCTTGCGATAATTCCATTATCTACATGTAATACTTATGGGCTTATACCCGGTAGTTGGCATGTGTATATTTTGAAAAATGCACACCAGATGCTAAGGTGTATTAATATCCAGCTTGGGGTTATTCTTATGTATTGCAAATATAAACCTTTGAGGGTGCATAAGCAGCATATTTCTTAAACTTACCCACTCACAACAGGAACTGCAAACTTCCTGTCCTTACCTTTCCAGTGGGCTATAGATAAAATAGCTAAGCAGTATTCAGATTCCTCTTTGCTCTGGTCTCTACACTTCTAGTACTCTTGTAGTACTAGGTAGTATAGAGACTGGAGCAAAGATGATTCCAAATACCACTCAGAAAATGTATGTACTCTTGTAGCAGCAAATACAGTTGCAGTACTAGGTAGTCCTGTCGTAATACTAGGTATTGAGCGTCTCACTTTGAGGTAAGCAAATCCTTCCAAACTGGCTTAGGGCTTGACAGTCGGGCACCCCAAGCTGTGAATCTACTTCCAGGGTCCCAAAGGTACCCTGATCTTGTTTTCTAGATCACATCTTACTTTCCTGTCTCCCATGAAAGGGCTAACTGCATTTGGAAGCAAAGAGGCATATTAAAAAAAAAATAGTTTGGGAGCCAGGATGGGAGTAAGTTCTTCAAAGTCAAAAGACATTGTGGTGCCAGCTTAAGTGGCTCTTTGGATCCTGCCCAATAGAAACACTGGCGAGCGTGGCTTTGGAAGTGGCAAAGTTGCTTCCAGCCAAACTGATCTGTTTCCAGTTTCTGCGAGGGAACACTGTCGAATCACAGCCCTCGGAAACATGCCTGCAAACAAGCTGGTTTATAAAACATGCTGGTTTATAAAACAAACATAGCTGACAATTTTGTGGTCAGTCATAGAATCTCAGGCGCATATTGATTTAAGCAGTGAAGTGGGTTTGCTTTGCTTTTGCAACAGCATGTTTCCGAGAAAGGACTTGTTGTGTGAGTATTGTTACCTGGGGAGCCCAGCCATACACACAGAAAGGTTTACTGAGAAGAAAAGAAACAATGGAGGGGGGGTATGCGTGCATTTCCTTCTCCTCCTCTTTTTCTTTTTGGAGAACAAGGTCTCTCCTTTCATTCAAAATCCTAAAAAGCATTTAGAGGAGAGCGGATGAAAATGGAGAATGCGACAAGTTGGCTTTTGTCCATGACAAGTCCCTTGTGCACAATCTATTGGGAGAGGATTTCTTCAGCTGATGGTTTTCCATGGGAGCATCCAGGATCCAAACCCTAAATGCTAACATACCGACATTCTTCTAGTATTGTGGGAGCAGTAAAATGATACAGTTTGTTCGCAGAACAGAAGGCTTGGCCCAATTTGGAAGAGGGACCTTGTTTTTCAAACCAAACCCCCCCCCAAAAAAATGGTCCTGTGATAGCATTTGTGGTGTGTAAATGCTGGGTGCCTTACAGTGCTCTTGGGGATAAAAAAATTTCCTGCTGCCTTCAAAGTAATGCATTTTGAACTTCAACCAAGGGTCAATTGCAGCTGTGCATGGGGTGTTTCTGTAAAAAGATGGAAACATGTAGTTTAAAGTCAAGCCCTTGTGAGCTGCAGAACTAGCTTGCATTTAGGGGAATGTCTCGGTGCTTACATGCACAACGGGCACCCTGACAGAAATTGTGGGAGGGGGGGCGCACGTGCCTTTTGTGCTTCCAGAAACACAGAGCACAGAAATTGCGGTGGGGGCGTGCGCACATGCCTTTTGTGCTTCCAGAAACACAGAGCACTCCAAGCCAACTTCAGAGAGCTCTCTTCCTCTACGAACATAAGACAGTGCATATAAAAGGACTGGCTCTCTTTATTCGGCCTAGTAAATCAATATCGGTGGCCTTCTTGCAGTCATGTCCCTATTACACTCGCTGTCCTGCATTTTCTCACGGTGGGGGCGTGCGCACATGCCTTTTGTGCTTCCAGAAACACAGAGCACTCCAAGCCAACTTCAGAGAGCTCTCTTCCTCTACGAACATAAGACAGTGCATATAAAAGGACTGGCTCTCTTTATTCGGCCTAGTAAATCAATATCGGTGGCCTTCTTGCAGTCATGTCCCTATTACACTCGCTGTCCTGCATTTTCTCAGAAGCCTCTTACCTGAAGAGGAGAGACAGGATAGTACTCCCTGGGAGTAGATGTAATCAGCAGGGGCTCAGACAGACAGCACGCAATGCATATGCCTTAGGAAATTACTGAGGAAGTGGACTTGACACACAATGCATATGACTTAGGAAATTACTGAGGAAGTGGACTTGATCCACAAACCCTCCAACTAAAATTAGTCCTTAAGGTGCCAGAATGTTCTTGTCTTCTTTGTGTTTTATCCTTCATTTGTTTTTTTCCTGATAATTTGATGGAATTAAGTACTGGAGTAGAGCACGCTCAAACATTCACATTTACAAATACATTCTGGTTTTCAACGAAATCTAGAAGTGATTCTTAGGAAAAGCCTAGTTTACTTGCAAGGGTGTACCCAAACTGATTAACAAGTTCAACAGCCCTGAAAAGAACAATAAGATAGATCTTTTCTATTGTACAAGTACTCTCTGCCCTGTTTCTTGTGTGAAATCCGATTGCCGCAAGTGATCAGTTGAATGTTTTCGGATATGAATCGAAGCTAAATTAGAGTATTTTATATTTAAAATCTCAAATAGAGTTTAAATGTTAGAGTAAGATGTGCTTTTTCTGGAAAATCTTAATCTGTTGAGCCTAGCATCATATGTATCCAAAGAAAGACATGAAACCAAGTGAGTGAATTTGTCACTTTCGAAATACTCCAGATTTTAGACCGCTGGGAGAAAGGAGAGCCACGCCAGATCTTAGAAGTTCAAGCTAAAGCTCAGATCTAGCCTTCTAAAACTGCTTTCAGAGGAAGGTTTGACACAATATGTAAAAGTAAAAGAGAGGAAGGAAGAGAAGGAGAAAGAGGAGGGAGAAAGAGAAAGGAAGCAGGCAGGATGATGGCGGGTTGACCTTCTGATAACATAATTCGTCATATCTGAAACCATAAATCATCCTTTGACAACTCCAGGAGAACCAGCAACCAGAGACAGAGGTGAGAGACTCTTTTGATTGCAGAATGTTCCAATGTCTAGGCATGTAGTCAGTGGTTGATGTACTTCCTCAAAAGTAACTGTGGATAAGTTGCAAAAGGTAACAGAAGGAACATTGTTGTCAAGGCATAACAGCAAGTGATCAATTAACGTAAGGCCCTTTCCCAGGGGCCACCTTTGCCAACTCCGTGCCTTAAAGATCCCTTGGGCTCCTGCTTTGCAAAGGCAAAGAGAAACGGCCCAGGCCCGGGAGGAGCTGAGGCCGCTTTCTCCGGCAGCCTCAGCACGGCCTCCACAAACTGCTGAAGCCCTCGGTCCTCCCTAATTGCACCTAGGGAGACACTTCCACACAAAGGCTACGACCCGTGTGGTGAACTTAGCAGAGGAGGAATGAACCAGGGAGTGAGGAAAGGTCACCCTCGCTCAGCCGGAAAGCCCACTCCTGTCCGTCTCAAGAAGGACTGACCCTCACATCATATTCTTTTGGGAATAAAACAATGCCGGGGCCCTGAGTTCCTTCACGAATGATCAGGATTAAAGAAAGAAAGGTGATTTCCCATGTAGGGCCGTGGATAGAATAGTAGACGAGGAATCTGGAGAATGGGGTTTGAATCCCCGCTCAGCCGTGGAAACTGACTGGGAAAGTGGAACTGGTAAAAACCACTCCTTAAATAACTCACTTACCTTGAAGGCCCTCTTAGGGTTGCTGTGAGTTGTTTCCCACTTGACGGGACAGAATACACACACAGAGAGAGAAAGGAAACTAGTGGGATGTATTAAAATCCCCATCCTTTCACTAGGGGCTCCAGAGGTCCCACCTTGTTCCTGCCTTTCTAGTTTCTGGCAAAGGCACCTGTTGAAAGGAAGGGTTTGTGTCTGTGTGTGTGAGAGAGAGGGAGATGCAATTTGTATTTCTTTATCCACTGGTTTTAACAGGGGGAATACAACCTTCTCTGATCTGTCAGTTTCTGTTCCTTCGTACAGAGGATTAAAGCACTGGTCAACCCCTCAATTTAAATGATGCCGTTTCTCTTTTTTGAAACTCTGCTGAATGTCCACGGGAGATATTTGGTAACTATAAATTTTGTTGACTTTCTCCAAGAAAGTCTTTGCTTGTCAACATAAGGGAGACAGGATCATAAAAGACGTAGAAACTGTTACAAAGTACTCCAGATGTACATATGTACCCTTTTCACAAACACTACAGTTTTTACAGGAGCAATTTGTTACCTCTATGTAGTTTATAAACATGAGGATTTTTTGACTTTGTAGATTCTGTGTCTTATCTCTGATTAATGTTACAGTATTTTAATTTTGCTACTGTTGCTGTGTGACAGGCGTCATCATTGCCCTCACAATCCCACAAGGATCTATGATCATGGAGGAGAAACAAGCCTCATGACGGAATATGTAGATAAATTCCCTCTCTACGGAGATGTCCGGCCAGCCCAGAGCCTCAAGCCCAAGCAGGAATATCAGCCCTATGGAGGGAAAATGGAAAGCATCACAACTTTCAAGTAAATATCCTGTAGTCATAGATGCACGCTGGGGGGGGGATCCCCAGGGATCAGGGTGCAAGGAGAGATGATTGAAGTTTCGATTTGGGGCAAGCACCAGCCGTTGGAATGGTCAGGGTGCAACGAGGCACTTGTTTCATTAAAAGTGGTGTGTACTGATGAAACATCATGATTGGTATTAGATACAGATAAAACCTGCATAAGTAGGTGTGTGCGTGAAATAATAGTCTAAAGGGGGGAAAGGAGCATTTTATTTGTTATGAAAAATGCTTGCTTATAACATAATTCCCCTGGAAAAGACCCTGATGTAGGGAAAGTGTGAAGGCAAGAGGAGAAGGGGAATGACAGAGGATGAGATGGCTGGACAGGGTCATCGAAGCGACCAACGTGAATTTGACCAAACTCCAGAGGGGGGGGGAAGACAGGAGGGCCTGGCATGGGGTCACAAAGAGTCGGACACGACTGAACAACTAAACAACAACAACATAACATAATTCAGTAGGTTACATATTAGAAAATAAACCCAAATTGGTAGGCATTTGCCAGAAAAAAATGCTGAGACTGCTATTTCCAAAATTCCAAAGTTACACGTATTTTATTCTATTTCGGGAGCATCTTCTGGCCATCCATGTGCTCTGGGGCCTTCCTCGGGGGAATTTTACACGTCTAATGAGATCTTGGTTAGAGCGTCAAGAGCAAAACACCCCAAAGGCTGGTTATTTCTTCTTGAGACTTGAGCAGAGATCTTGTCCAATTTTCCCCCGAGGAAGGCCCCAGAACCTACAAATGGCTAAATATATTAAAATACATAAATTTGGCCCTCTCTCATTTCTTTCTGTCATCTCAAAAGACCATCCAGCTGTGTACAAAGAGAGAAAGAGAATTGCCATCATGCCACCTGACTTCTGAAAGTATTCCTGGGTACTCAAATTAAAAATAATTAGTGGACTTTCCTTCCCCCCCGCCCCCATCTTCTCCACTATTCGTCAGGCTCACCATGTTGATGAATCCTAAGGTTTAATCTCCCAGACAGATCAGTAGCTATTGCAGCAGGAATTCTGTAGTGTCGGGCACAAGGATTCAGGAGGGCTTTTGAAGAGTTTATTCTCTCTCTTTCTTTCTTTTTTATTTTGGTCAATTTATTGTCACGGCTGTTGGCTTTTTGAGTGCTGAGCTTCCTTTCCTTCAGGTCTGACTACCTTCCATATGACGTGACCAGTCGCCCGGTTCGGGTGCAAGAGGAATACAAACCCGCAGCCGGGGAGATTGATCTGGGTACCACTTACCGGAGAGATTATAACGCCCTCAAAGTACAACCCGTCATCCTGGTAAAGCCGATCGAGAGGAAGTATGTCAGAGGAGGCAAACTGGACACCATACCCACTTACCAAGGTAATAAGAGGCCTGTGACATTTACTGGGAGATGCCCCCCCTCTCCGTTGCCACGCTGGCCTGCCAGTTGCATCCTCCTGCCGATGTCCTTGGACTCCCTTTCCCATCTGCCCAAGTCAGCCTTGCCAGAGGTCAGCCATGCTGGGTGTTGTCATTCAGCAACATTGGGAAGGTCACACAAGGTAGACCCCCCCGCTCCCCAATTACTAGGCAGTCAGTCTCTGGATTCTCTCTCATGAAGTCTCTTTAATAAAGGGTGCAAATGTCTTCAGTGTGACCAACAAGGCCCGAGAGAAAACCTCACACCAGGCTGGTCTCCTGCTCTGAATCAATGCTTATCTATGTTTCTATCAACTTTTTTTTTAAAAAAGATTCCTGTTCATTCAGTGATTCTTATACCTTAGTGAGGGGGTTTAGGGTTGCACCTTAAATGTAATTTAATACCTGTTCCCTCTTGCGGAGATGGGAAAAGACACCTTTAAAAAAAATTAGAAATTCCCATCCACCTGGATGTTCTAAGTCTGTCCTGTTGGCCCAGAAAGCGACTTTTCCCATCCATCTCAGCCCACGTCCAGATGACTTCTGGGAACTGGATTTGATTGTGTGTTTCAGAAACTGCTAAAGCAAAATTCTTAGTGCTTGCCTCAAGCGAACAAAGCCAGAATTTACTGAGGGAGGTAATACAATGGTGCAGAACTGATAATGGGTTCAAAGTATGACTATTCCCTTTTATGTTTATGGATCCCAGCAGTTGCTGGGCATGAAGTACGTGTTTCTAAGTACCATCAATAACAGCTTTGGGTTACATCCGATTTTAGTCCCAAGCAGAGCAGACCCGTTGAAATGAACAGAACTTGTTGGTTGGCATTAGTGTAAAAACAATTAGCGTCAACGGGCTCTACTTTTGTTGAGTCTCGGGTTGAATTTTGTTGATCCCTGTTGGCACGTGGATCTGGGAATCAGTTGATCTACCCACAGGCCACGGGCATAGCACACTAGCAACTCTGTCAATACCTGTTATTAAATGCTAGCTTTGTTTTCAAGCTGATTACAGGGCCTGGGAAATTCAAAGAAGGGAACCCTATAAAGTAGAGAACACCTACCATCCTCCAACAGAAAAGTTTGGAAACAGCACGACCTTCCAGGATGCTTTCGTCCCCAGGGAATTCACCCTCCAAAAAAGCTTTAAGCCGACGGTAACAACCAGGCTTTCAGACCAACCTTTTACCAACATTACAAGTCATCGCAGTGATTATGTTCCTCACCAACTGGAAGCCAAACCAAAACGCCTGGTGGAAGAATATAAGCCCAACAGCCAACCGTTTGAAAACACAACCACCCACCGGTGTGATTTCAGAGGGCTTGTTGGCGAACTCCCCAAAAGCTTCAAGCCTGAGCAGACTAGAGTGGAATCGAAAGCCCATTTTGAGGGGAGCACTGAGTTCCGCGACCATTTTCAGCCGTGGGCGGTTTCCTTACCTGAGGTCCGCAAAGAGAAAGAGTACGTCCCACCCACGGGGAGCATGGATTTGAACACCACCAGCCACCTGGATTATATTCAACACAGCATCCACCCAGTTGTCCTCATGAAGCCGTTGGACAAGAGCCGGAGAAACAAGGCCCCCTTTGAAGGAAGGACGACCATGAGGGACGCCTTTCAAGCCTGGGACACCTGTCGGCCAGAAATCGTCAAGAAGACCCAGGAAATTTCAAAGCCGTCCGGGAAATTTGATGGCATGACCACTTTCAGAGCTCATTATGTACCGTACAATGTAGCCCCGCAGAAGAGCTGGAAACCCCCAAAGGTGGCCGTGGCAAACTCAGCCCCTTTTGAAAACAAAACCATGTACCGTACAGAATATACCCCGAAGAAAGTAGAGATCTGTCCAGCAACCTATACGTCTCCTCCAGGATACGTCTACGTCAGCACCGATTCTCGCGGTCACAAATTCTTCCGCAGAGTTACACCAGGTGCCCAGTCAGTTGTCCTGGCCAATGGTAATCATGTTCCAAAAGAAATAGCCGTCATGTCATAGCTCCTATTTCTAGTTGGCTGGCTCATAAGCATGCTGAGAAGTATCAGGGAGCAGGCAGACAACGACAGGAGCCCTCAACGTTCTAAATCACACAGATTTTATTTTCTTTTTAATGGAGATCTGAAAAAAATTCTAAACATTTACTGGATTAGCAGTGAAAACTAGGGTTTGTAATGTGTGTCAGTATATCAATGGAATCTGTTGCCTTTAAATGAATCAGGAGGTGTGTGTTCATTTTAACATGGTGGTCATTTCCAGCTGTACCAGGAAAATTCATTTCCCTGTAAAGACCACTGAATTCTATGATTTAAATGTGATGATACCTATTTTAAATCAACTTATCCTAGCCCACTTCCTAGTAACATGCTCAGAAAAGCAGTCATAGCTGTATAAGAGCTCACGAATTAATTCCTGGCATTTTCACTTCAAGAATCTCATATAGAAGGATCCATTTCAAGGGTCTTATGTTTTCCTGAGATGCTGGAGAGGAACTGTTTGTCTCACACACACACACAGCTCGAGTGGGCTGCTTCCATACAAAAATGCAGAAAAACGTCTGGGTTGGTTGCTGCATGGAGCCAACATCACTAAACCTGATGATGATGCAGGAGTCCAGCCGTTTACACGAAAGGCAGTGAAATGTCTAAATTAAATACCCAACATTTCTTATTTGGAGGCAATAATGTCTTTCCTTTGGCCAGGGCCGAAGAAGATTTTTCTCAGGTTATTTCACAAAGCTAGCTAAAACTTATACTGTACAGTCAAATATGTTTTTTTTTCCTGCTCCCTTTGGAATGCTCTGTTACATCTCATATAACATAATAGCCTTTCCCCCAGTGGTCGTGAAAGGGCCAGTGACCCATTTTTTATTTGCTTTGGGATGTAGTTTAAATTCTGGTGAAGGTGCCACCTCTGGGTATACGTGTCAACCAGTGGGTTACACACAAAAAGACCATTGATAGATGGCTGTTGAAAGGTGAAGCAAGCCATGCAAGCTTATTTCACAGTGATAGGGCATCTCTTTATAGTGGCAGTGAATCCTTCTGTTGGTGAACTGGAAGAAGGGAAAGATGTCTTATTTCCCACAGGCTTTTAGAGTCTCAGGAATCTTACCCAACAGTGACTCAGGGAAGAGTCAAATGATGTTTACATTTCACTTCCTCTTTTTTTGCGGGGGGGGGAACCTCCACATTTTTCATCCGTTTTGGGAGGCTTTCTTTGCCAATATTAATGACCACTTCAGATCTCATAGCCCTAGATGTTCTTTAGGTACAAACGCCTTGGAACTGTGTTTTGAGACATCTACCCTTTTAAAAGTCTGTCTGTACATCACATTGACTTGCCGTTGCCGAGAAAAGGCTTCTCGGGGGTGGGGTGGGGGCTACAGCCAGAATCCAGCTGTGTCCTTTTGCTGCCTTCTGCTGCTTATGGGAGAACCTGCATTCTCCCGCCCTCTTGGACCCCCCCCCGTGTGCTGGGAAATCCTTTGGAGGAGGAGGGGTCTGCGGCAGGAGAGGAAGGGGAGGGGAATCCGGTTCTTTTGGAGTTTGATGCAAAGGGACACAACGACATTGCGATTTGGCCCAGTTGTACAATGTATTGTGAGACCAGCCCTGTTCAGCTTTGTCACGATTTGTGTGCAACTGAAGGCCAGAGTTGATACATTTATTTGCTAATTTCCTCAACTATTTGTATACTGCTTTTAAAGCGTAATGGTCTTCCCTTGGATGGACAGTGGAGTTACAGGCAGGTGTAGTACCCCTGTCCCTGTTCTCAGTGCGGTCCAGTTTATCCAGCCACGGCATCAGCCCATTCCTGGCTGTGTTCTTCTGGACCCTAGTGGCAACGGGTAGGAGGGTGCGGCATAGATGTTTTCCCCAAGTCCCCTTTCCCCAGTCCGCTGGGGGAAGCCCACTGCAGATTATATTTATCCGTTTTACCTTGGGGATGAAATAGTAAATGCTACATTATACCTTGACAAAGCTGTACCTCAAGAGGATGATTTCAGCTGTGAGTCAAGTCTGTTAATCAGGTCTTAGGTTTGAGGAGCGTTCAGTATGGGGAGAAGTGTGGACACTTGATTGCATCTTATCTCTGTGTGAGTTTCACCTTGCACCCGTTATTTTAGGAAAATCATTTTAAAACTGAAGCGTCATGTAATCTTACAGACTGTATCCCCCAAATCACCTGTTCAGAAACTGTGTTCAAGGAATATCTAAAATGGACAAGAAGAATATTCTAAACATCTGGGAAGGTTTGTTTTGTTTTGTTTTTCCATGTGGTGCCCTAAACATCCCGAAGGAGCACAGAACCTTTCTTCTTCTTCTTTGTCTTATGCAAGTTTCATGTTTTAAAAATGTGGGAAATCAAATTAAAAACGTTTAACTCATCCTATGGTTTCTTGAAGTTTATTAAAGGCTGCAGCTAGATTAAGGGCAGGACTTCCTCCTGCAGAGAAGCCCCGTTCTTCTAGCGCAGGAATGTACGTCTGGTTGTTTGAATTCAAACAGAGGCGCAGATGGGCCTCCAACATAATATGGGAACAGGCTCGCATGATTGCCGTCGAATCTTTCTGGTAGAAAAGCCATAAAACTGCTTCATTGGCCTCATGTTCTTCCAAAAGTTTCCATCTCTGATAGCGACGGCTGGTTTGTCCATGACATGTTCCTCACTTGAGAACGGCAACGTCAAGTGACTCTATGCCTGGGTCAATCAGTCGCAGCCGATCCAAAGCCCCCGACGGGTATCTACTGCCTCGCCTCACCCCCAGATACTCTCCTTGTCAGTGGAACCAGTTTATCTGAGCCTCACCGTTACAGGGAATTGGAGAGAAAAGCAGTTTGGGATATAGCACAGAAGGTACCCATGTTGACGTGGGCTGCCTGCCTTAGCTGACCCTCCCGTGCTGCTTTGTGGCGAATTGATCGGCTCTGAAGTCTCCCACTCTTGTCTCGTCACCCGGAGATATTAATGTCGGCACCAAAGTATTCACATTGAAATGTCAACAGGAAATTAATTTGCTAGGATTAAAAAATTCAGAGACATTTAATAAAATGAACTGGTGGCTCAGGCTAATTTGTTAAATTACAAATAATTTAAAACGACTAAAGTGGCCAGTAATGAAATTAAACAACAAGAATTGCTAATTGTTATGGAGGAAAATGTCCTGGAGCTATTTCAACATAGTAATGCAGCTGGGATAACAAACAGAAATGTTTATTCTGGGTGAATATAGAGATTATTCTTAAGAATATTTAATATCAGGCATCTTTGGTTAATCGGCTGTGTGACCAGCTACTGTGACTGACATCCATAGCTTTGCTTCTGTAGAATGTGCTTTTAAAACCAAAGTGCTAGCAACTCAAAGAATGCCACCACTTAACTCATTTTGGATATGAATTACAGATGAAAAAAAGCATAGGTAAGTTTTAGTAACAGAGAAAAATATATGTTCCAAAATCTTTATTACACACTGTACAAAAAATATTGCACTTTTAGATCAGATAATAAATATGTACAAAAGTATATTACATGTGCTTTAATTTAAAAAAAAGGTATAAACAAACAAGAGCCATGATAAATTTAAAATCTTGGGCAACACTTCAGCCAAAGTCAATCAGTTTAAAGTTGGCTGAATTCAACGCAAGTGATTTTAGCACAGGTCGTAATGTCCCATTACATCGATGTGTCTTAAGAGAAACCATTTATGGATTAAATCCAACTCGAATCACACCTAGAACAGACCCATTAAATAGACAGGATTGGCATCAGCATTAGCTCAGTGGTTTAGGTATCTGGTCTCTGGAGCCAGAGGTTGGGAGTTCGATTCCTCACTGTGGCTCCTGCAATAAGAGCCAGCCTGGGTGGCCTTGGGCCAGCAGCACAGTCGTCCCAGGGCGCTCCCATAAATAGGGAAGAGCAAACCACTTCTGTGTATTCTCTCCCTTGAAACCCTGAAAAGGGTTTCCATAAGTCGGAACTGACTTGACGGCACACAATGCATTCATAATAAGTCCCATTCATTAAATGGGTCTGCTGTGGTTACGATTACTAATCGGATTTAAACTTATATATCTCATGAGAAGAATCAAGTGGTAAAGTTTCTCCTTTTTTTATATACATCACTTTTCATACAGAAGGATTCCATTTTAAAACAGCTTTTGCCTTTAAAAAAAATCCCTGCATGCAGAAAACAACCGTACTGAACAGATTCAGCCTAACTTTACCCATACATGTTCCTACTTGTGCAGAGTTGATATCCTTTCCCCACCCCGGTGGGCCCACCCAGAAAAAAAAAACCTTCAGTGCCTTGATTCTACTGACCATTCATGGCCGTCAAGGTTAATTCTGATATGATCAAAACACTTCTTTGCTCTCAGCCAAATATACTGTCTCTTAATGTATATTGCAAGGCTTTTCTATATACCACAGTGCTTGTTTAGCTGTCAGTGAGGCAAAACAACGATACACAACAAAAGTGAGTTAATCTTTTCCCGATACAATCTGAACAGAAACAAAACCTCGGGTGTTCCTTGCGATCAGAGGGCCCGGCTCCACAAGAGAGGTAGGTTGATATTTGCGTAGGGGTTGCAAATGCAAGGCAAGCTTATAATCAAAGAGAAGGTTCCTGACTTCTGCAGGGAAACTATAAGAACAGCCGTAGTGATGTTGGACTAAACCTTTAGCCAATCTTATATCCTGTTTCTTGACAATGGTCCATCAAAATCACAAGCAAAACCTCTAAAGGAAAGAGCCTATTCATTCCCTGCAGTTATTTCCCCCACCTGGTATTCAGACTCTATCTAGAGATGGCGTTTCCACAGAGAATTCATGGCTAGCTCTGAAGCAGAGGATGGGCATCCGGACACAGAAGGTTTCATGACGAAACCCATCAATTACCAGTCCTGTGAAAAAGCTTCCTATCTTCCTACCCGTCCTAAGGCCAGAAACAGACGTTAGAAATAGCATGAACCTTAAATCTTTATGGCTTTCCTTCATAGAAAAGGTCTTCAGCCCTCTTGGACATTTCAGCTGCTCTTTCCTGTACCTTTTCCAGCCCTAGTTTTTCCTTTCTGCAACGGCATATTCTCATTGGCCATGATCCAGTGGTGGCCATGATCCTGCAGTCCGTGCCCATCTGTATTCAGAACTATCCTCTTTTAGCAGAATTGGGACTGGGGAAATTCCCCTTCTGCATTACAGCTCTCTCCCAGTTTTCTGAGAAAACCTACTCCGTCCAAAACTTGTTTTCCAGTGGCACCAACAATTTCCAGAGGTTTCCATTGTGCTCTTTTATTATTTCAAATGTATCCACCTTTTAATATATTTCATACTGTGTGCATTTTTTCCCAGTCATAAAACAACCTTTTACCCCCTTCCCTTTTGGCCAGACATTACTTTCACGTAATCAGTATGGCAAAAGGCCACTTCCTGGGGTTGTGGTTTTAACATCTGACTGTCCTTCATTAACTAAATGCATAATAAGCCAAAATGGCTGAAAACCCATCAAACTGGGTATTTATATATCTGCCTCAATGGATAAGTTTTTCTTTGTTTGCTCTGTTGCTCTTTATTTCCCTTCCAGTGGCTGGGAAAGGGCAGAATATTTCTAAAAGAGCAACCTAGGCTGAATGATGCTTTTGGCTGGAAATGCGTTCCTGTTTAATGCAATATCAAATGATTTTGAATGGATTAAACGCAAGAGAACAGCTCCCAACCGTAGAGTTCCTGCATAGAAACTTTGAACCTGATTTCATATCGATCCGGTGCGAGAGAGGCTCAAGCCATTCCCCTCTCCACTAAAGCTTCAGAAATTTGAAAGCCATCCTGGAGGATGTCTTTAAAAAAAATCATAATGATGTACGCCTCGTCTTTTACTGCAGGCCCTTAAATGAGGGAAGGGAAACAAATTTGTTTTCCATTTGACAGCTCATCTCAATAAGAGGGAGTCTGTGGTAATGCCCCGTTTGTCGTAACATGAAGGATATGCAGTTGTGCATTGAGAGAGGACAGGTGAAATAAAAAAAATGACTGCCTGCTGTTTCCATTGATTTGCACAAATGTTGTAAAGGGAGGGGGTCCGGCTGAGAAGGCAAGTAGAAAATTCAAATGGTTGCTGCTTTCTTATGTTTTAAAAAAAAAAGTTATCTGTCTTTCTGAATCTGGCCGGACAGCTCAGTGAGCTAAGGATGTGGCTGCAAAGCCAGAGGTTGGGAGTTCAATTCCCCACTTTGCCTCTTGCGAGTAGAGCCAGCCTGGGTAACCTTGGGCAAGCTGCACAGTCCCAGGGTGCCCCTAGAGGAAGGGAATGGTAATACACCTCTGAGTATTCCCTATTTGGAAAACCCTGAAAAGGGCCAGTGTGTGTCAGAACTGACGTGATGGCACACAATTATTATTATTATTTATCTTTCTACTTCCAGGACCACAACTTGAAGGCAATGGATCAGTCCAACTCCCTTTCTATTAAAAGTTGTAAGAAGACCTGGCTGTACCCTTTTTAAAAAAAAACTACCCTCTGTGTTTGAATTACAACAAAACCATGTGTTGTGGTTGGAGAGGGATGGGTGAGGGTGGAGAAGGCAAGAAGGTGTGGGGGGGGGACAAAAAAATCCCGTGCAGAACATTCACACAACTTTCTTTTTAAACCAACCCTGGGGGTTCTTGGTTGATGGTCTTTACTGAATCAAAACTCTTCTTGCCGTTTCTTCACGGTGCCATCAAGAACTTTCCGTAAAGGAATAATGCTCTCCACAGGACTGACAACACCTTTGTTTGTAGAGGTCTACCAAGCACAATTTTAGCTGCTTTACAAACGTACAGTAGGGAGAGGTATCCTGGCATTCGCCTTCTGAAAAATACATTGAAATGTGAATGAAAAAAAAAAGATAGGACAGTTACACCATCGCAGTTGAGACTAGGGAGATGCTTTGAGGCTTAACGTCCTAGAGGAGCACCTCGCACAAGAGCTAGATAAAATGCCAACTTGTTCTCCATCTACTGCCGAGTAATCAGAAGACTCCTTGGAGACTCAAGCTTGAGTGAGTTGCATTACGAGAATATGGGTCCGGACTCATAGCATGGCCTGCGTCTAACCTGGGGTATCCATTTTGCTGTTTGAGCTCTTCACTATCAAACAGTTTGCTGGACGTTACTCACTAATTTTAAGGGAGGGAGGGAGGGCTGAACTCAGCAGCTTACGGAGTCCACCCTAAAGGCTAGTCTTCGGCCCCATTCTCTTAAATGCAAATGGTCCAAATGACCAGCAAGTTCCAAAATGGAAATAAACGTTTTACATACTGTCACAGGAAGTGACATTGCAGTGCCTCCAGGTGGCCGGTCTCTTCCTCCAGGCGCAGGAAAGATCCGCAACGGGTCTCTTATTTTTCCCGTGGATGCAGCCGACGTGCCGCGACTGGAATCCGCTCCCACAGTCTGCGGTGCAAGGCCTCCAGGGTCCCGTCCGCCAATACACGTCGCATTTCTCCGAAGAACAGTTTCTTCTCGTGGCCGGTCTGCACAGAGGGAAGGGTGAAACGCCCGAAACAAAAACAAAACAAAACAAAAAGATGGTTTGGAACGTATAACCTGACAGACAAACCCAACAAAAAGGCCCCTGCTTGAGGGCAACTCTTACCTTTCCTGGTGATGACACTGTGAGTCTAACACGGCTGTTCCATTCTGATATTGGCAGTGAACGCGTCGGTGCTGCAAACCCACGCCGCGATTCACACACTGACCGATGCACTGAAAACAAAGGAAACAAACAGCTTCCTTTAGAAAGGGGGAGATCAATAGTTTTTTTAAAATGTATTTATTTTATAGGTTAGGCGTAGGGATAGGGGACAGCGCGGCGGGGCAGGGGGTTAAAAAGAAAAGAAAGGCGGAGATCATGCAAGACGGAGCGACACCACCCACGCAGATTAAGAGATTTTAGAAAATTTGCCTTAATGACCTGGCCCCAAGGATGAAGAATCCATTCCGTACAAAACTGCCCCACGCAAGGTTTCCTTTCCAAAAGGTGTTCATTCTGGGCGCAAGTGTCTGGAGGCAACCTTATAGCTGTGCCGTTTGCTGTGACTTGTTTGCACAACCTTTGTCGCTGACGGAAACCATTGCCACACAACGCAGAGCATTCGGACCAAGCGCTCATCGCCCACCTAGAGAGAGAAGGGGTGAAAAAGTCACCGGAAAAGTAACAGCATCACACACACACACACACACACGAAAAAGCAATTTGCTTTGACTTGTTTGCAAAACCTTTGTCGCTGATGGAAACCGTTGCCGCACGACGCAGAGCATTCGGACCAAGCGCTCATTGCCCACCTAGAGAGGGAAGGGGTGAAAAAGCAACCGGAAAAGTAACAGCATCACACCCGACCCCCTGAAAAAGCCGTTCCCTAACACATTAACCAGTAACTAGGCCTTCACAAATGAACCATGGCAGTTCCCTAACACATTAACCGGTAACTAGGCCTTCACAAATGAACCATGGCCCTCTTGGATGGACTGGATTAGGTTGGATGAGAATATAGTTTCAGTTCAGTTTTCTGTTTTGGTTTGAAATTTTACAAAATTCACATTTCTGATGTGAAGAATTTGATTTTTTTTAAGAAATAAGAGAGAAACTTAAACTTAGAGAGAGAGAGAGAGAGAGAGAGAGAGAGATCCTGGCCCACTGCTTTAAATGCTTAGTACTTAAAAGATCTTCAGTGCAGAATCATGCACCTCACATCCTTTTGATAGCTGGATAGAAAAGGAGCATCTGTTTCTTGGGGAGGGGTTGTTTCTTTTAAACCCATTTTGGAATTGATATCTGTAAGCTGAAAACAGACTTTTCCATCACACAGTGAAAGAGAGTAACATAACTTGAAAGCTTCAGCAACATTTTGCAAATTTAGTCATTGTCATCATCTTAAAACTGCAGAGCTGGAAGGGACCCGAGGGATCCTCACATCCAGGCTCTGTAAAGGAGACCCAGTGGGAGGATTCAAACTCCCAACGTCTGGCTCCGCAGCCAGAGACCTAAAAAACTAAACCATCCAGTAGTTCAGTCAATAAACAAAAGTCTAGGTACAAAAATGAATGAATGAATGAATGAATGAATGAATGAATGAATGAATGAATGAATGAATGAATGAATGAATGAATGAATGAATGAATGAATGAATGAATGAAAGCAAAAGGAACCTATTTACCTGGGAGGACAATCTTGGATGTTGCAAGGCTGATAAGTCACGGCTGGTTTCAGGCTCGCTTTGCACAGAGACTTGTCCACTTTTTCCTCCCTCGTGTTCACACACTGCAGTCTTTGGAACTGGGTTCCCGCATTTCCACAAGTAGCCGAACATGGATTCCACTCGGCAAGTTCCCACCTGTATTCTGTTAAAGGGGAGGGAAAGGCAAAAGGTGTGCACATTAAGAGTCAAGGTTGCATCTCCCTATATTGACAGCTTCAGAACGCTCCGCCTTGTGTCTGGGATTTGAGCCTTCTTTGGCACTGAATTCTTGCTTTTCTCTTTTTTCAACTGCTAGCTGAAAAAAAAATTCTAAATTTACCACTCAGAAAATTCTAAACTAGGGTTCTTCAGAATATTAATCCAGCGCAGAAGGTAAGAGGATACTGTTGATCGTTGACTTGGTAGGTGAAGAGCCTCAGAAGGCTATTAGTTGACCTCTAAGACCCAGACTCCCCAGAAGCCCTATGGACTGAGGATTCTGGGAGCAGTAGTCAAAGACCTAACCATGCTGTGGAAGTCTGTAAAATTATGCTATGAAATAGTCAGAGAACTGCTATTCTAGAGTCCCACAGAAGAGCTACCCATCTCACATGCTCCTCACAGCCCTTGATGCTAAGAATTTTAACATCTAAGGAGGCCAATATGAGGGACACATCTTGCTTGGTGGTGGCCCCTTCCCTCAGGAACACGTTTCCTACAGAGATTCACCGGGCGCAAACTCTCCCAGTTTTTAGGAAGCTAACTAATTATCTAAGGCTGCCTTCTACCAGTGTGAATATTGTCCTTGGATGTTCAAATGGGCTTTAATTTGTGTATTTTAATTATTTAAAGCTATCAACAGGATTTATTGCATTTCATTAACCGCCTAAAGAGTGGCAATGCTAATGGGGCGGTATAGAAATTGCAATAAATTAATAAAAGATTAATTCTGCAAATGGTCAGAACAATGGTCTCCAGCAGTAAAAAGATCTTTTCAAAATGTGGGTTACAATTGGGAATGATCCCACCTTCGCCTCTTGTAGACATCATTTATGACAAAGTAATATACAACACTGACAGATTTTTATGCAATCTGGGGTGTTGTGTAGGTTTTTTTTAAAAGGGGGGGAGTTAGTTTGGGTCCTTTAATACCCCAGAATAATTGATCGCTCCCAGCTGTGTCTACAATCTCTTTCCTGCAGCACATAATGAATTCTTTAACTTATAGGGCTGTCAGCATTTCCTTATTACTCCTGGCTTTCTTAAAATAACACCAAAATAGCCCTCTCAAAGCAGAAGTGGTTAAAATTTACTGAGTGCAAGCGTGACGGACAGCCTGCGTGATTTGCTTTGCCACGAAGACATGGCGCCGTGGGGCTCTCGCCGTGCACCCACGGCGAAAAAACTGCCCTGTTTAGCAATATTTTAAACATGTGAAGCCCTCAAATATTGTCCCACAGGTGTGCGTCCAGATAGGTACACACACAACCCTAAGCTTTTTAAAGCCACTCGATGTTGCCTCCTAGAACAAACCAAGGAGCAACGGTGTGCCTGGTATTTTTGCCGACGGCCCCCCTGTCCTTTCCAGGCGGCTACCACCTGTCGCAAAACAGGTCTCAGACCTGACCCCCTGAACATCATAACCCAGGTGCCTAAGGCCCCGGCGATGCCAGGGCGCTGAGCTTCCCACGAAACTAGAAGCAGCTCTAACCATGCCTGATAACTGCCATGGCGACGTTAGTCCAGAATCGCATATCTTAGCAACCAGGCTTGCAGACGGAGCCTCTGTTCACCTCCGGGCGACAAATCACCAAACTGAGGAAGTGAATTTGCAAGATGGAGAGGTGACCAAAGGCCCAGCGATGGCCGTCAAGAGTCCTCCATCAATTCAGGGAGCACTGCCTCTAAATGTCCGGCTTGAAGCCTGAAGCTCTGGGCCGTAGAAGAGAGGGTTCCCTGACACGGAATGCTCTTGACTCCAGGCAGGGCTTCTACAGTGCCACTGCCTGCCTCGCTCCCAGGGATCCTGCAGGGAACCCAGACATCATCCTCTTCCATGCTTCCCCACCATTGCTTTCGCCTTTGTTCCTCCTGCATAAGGTCTGCCACAAAGAGATGCACGGTGCCTTTTAATGGGAAGAGCTAAGGGAACATCCACCCATGTTGACGTCAGAGCCACCGCTGCCCATGGGCAAAGGGTGGCGGTGTGGGTTTAGCAGGGGCAAACGCAAGCGGGCAAAGAGGTGACTACCTGTAGCTACTGTGCAGTGAATTCAAGCCTCCTTTCTCCATTGTTTGTTGCAAACGGAACTGGCTTCATACCATCCCAGAGTGCAGGACACATAACAGCGGGCTCACGCTACATGAAGCCAGATCTCCACTGAATATCAGAGAAAGCTTCTTAAGTGTTAGAGCGGTACGACAACAGAACGCGTGACCTCAGGAGGTAGTGAGTGCTCCAGCACTGGAGACATTCAAGAGAAAATTGGACAACCCTCTGTAATATATACTTTGGATTCCTGCCTTGATCAGAGGGTTGGACACCTTAGAGGCCCCTTACAACCCTGTGATTCTATGGCATACCGTGTTTCCCCAAAAATAAGACAGGGTCTTATATTAATTTCTGCTCCAAAAAAATCCATTAGGGCTTATTTTCAGGGGATGTTTAATTTTTTTTAATGTACAACCATCTTCATTTATTCCAATACAGTCATGTCATCATCTTCTGGTTGCTGCACAAGTGTGGTGGGCTTTCACTTAACTGGGGCTTATTTTGAGGGTAGGGCTTACATTACAAGCATCCTGAACATTCATACTAGGGCTTATTTTCGGGTTAGGTCTTATTTTCAGGGAAACAGGGTATATCTGTTTCCACCTACCTGCCCGTGTCTAGCCTTCAGATCCTTGAAAGGTGTTCAAAGGGCTTATGGATCTCTCTCTCCCCCCTGCACCCACAGTTTCAAGAACGGAAGCCCATCTGCCCTGCTGATGCTTTGTTTATCAAAAGGCTATACTAAGGAAACAGACAAATGGGTTTTCCATTCCTTCAGCCAGGTCTCGAACTACCCCAATGCAAGTCATAAGAGGCAATCCTAGATTGTATCTACACTACACCGTTACATCAGCTGGATAGCAATTTGTCCCACCCTGCCAAAGCCCTTTGATGGCTCCCAGTTCCATCGTACAGAATTTGGGGGTTTCTAACATGCGTGAGGCACCGAGAATGGTCCACAACGGGGGGAACTCCTCTTACACTCACATGAACTATGGCAGAGAATTCCCAAACTCAAGAAGGGTTAACAGCTATGGATTTTTTCCCTTCTATACAAAAGTGAAAAGGCCAACTTAAAAAAAAAACAACTTTAAATACAAGTGTGCAAAAATCTTGGATTTTTGAACATTGAGGCACATTGGTACCGATCCCCGAGGCCATGAGGACGCGTTTCTTCCTGCCGTTGCTGAGTTTCCTGACGTGCTTGTTCTGAGAAGAAAAAGGAGACGGGAAAAACATAGCCAGAGTGCATCCCACGAATAAGAGCGATGGGGATGTTTACTCAGAAAGGGTGGTGTCTTCTTAGGTGTAAGAAGGAAGAGTGGAGAGCAGTGTGTCGGCTCTGCCTCTTCCCTGACAAGGTCATTGTCTTGGTTTCCCTGAATGTGTTAAGGGCACATTGAGGCACCGGAAGGCACTCTGAGCAGGGCTTTCCATGTCTGGTGTAAAACTGGGAAAGTCTTGAAACAATTAAAGAAGGCGTAACCTTAAAATGTACCAACGGTATAGGGTTATTGCTCAATCAGAAGATCACGGTGTAAACATTAAAGGTAAGAATGGTGTTCGTGGAATCTTCAACAAACCTTCCTTCTTGACATTTACCCAGACAGACAACGGCTTGGCGCTTGAGGAAGTCTGACATCTATACTGCCCAGCCAATCGGTCGGAGGCAACCTTCACCTCTAAGATGCGTCCGCGAACCAAGTTTCTGTGACTGAGGCCGTCAATTTCTTGAATTGGTTGATTTTTGAAGAACCACTGGATTGTGTTCTTTGCACTAGGATGTACAGGGCAACCTAGAAAGCAAGGATAGGTTAATCTTCTAGTCTCATAACATTAGGAATTTTAATTTTTTTAAAAAAGCACACCCCCAAATCTACATGTTCCCATATTCCAGTTATTCTTCTTTTGAGTAGAAGGTAACTGATTTGGTCCGCTAAATAATAGCGAAGCATCTTGGGACACTTTAAAAGCTAACAAGATTTTCTTGGCCTCCTCTTCCGTTGAATACCATAGAGACAGGTACTTCTGAGAAATAATACATGCAGTAGGTGGCATGGATAGAAGGGTGTATGCTGCTTGCGGACAGGAATGTATTTACTACCCACCAAGTAGCAAAATTTGCCTTGGCAGCAAAGAAAATTCGTGCTAAGCATCCAAAACTCTAAATCCTTCTTTTTAAGTGTAATGTGTTCCTCTTCCATTGAATACCATAGAATAGACAGAGAGAGAGAGGTATTTCTGAGAAATAATACATGCAATAGGCAGCATGAATAGAAGGGTGACAGATTTAGCAAGCCATTATTGGCTGCCCAGCTAAAATGAGGCCCCCGGTGACACCCTACCAAGCACATTTGTGAAACCTACCTATCCGTAAAAGGTCTCCAGGCACAACCGTAACATTGGTACCGATCCCAGAGGCCATGAGGACGCGTTTCTTCCTGCTATTGCTGACAGATGACCCATTGTTAGTTTCCTGACGTGCTTGTTCTGAGAAGAAAAAGGAGACAGGGAAAACATAGCCAGGGCGCATCCGACGAATAATAGCGATGGGGATGTTTACTCGGAAAGGGTGGTGTCTTCTTAGGTGTAAGAAGGAAGAGTGGAGAGCAGTGTGTCAGCTCTGCCTCTTCCCCGACAAGGTCATTGTTTTGGTTTCCCTTGAATGTGTTAAGGACAACTATTTTTCTAAAAAAAGAGAAGAGAGCGTCTTCCATCTGTTGAAATTTGTAGGAGAAACAAGAAAGGATCTCCCAATACCTTAAAGACAAAGAAGTTGGATTGGGGATCCTCTTTCATGGATGCAACCCAACTGAATCTGCATTTGACAAAAGCACAGGCTAGAGAAAGCTTGACAGACTTAAAGGTCAGTGCTTTCCTATCGCTAGAAGCTATCTACGGTTTCAGAGAAGACCTGCCACCTTTAGAAAGTGTCATTGGTGATGGAAATGCAGCACCTGGAGGAGAAGCTAAGGAGGTCACCTCTTCCCTTAAGGAAGCAAAAGGGGACCTTCAGCAGTTGTCCAGAAGTGCCTGCAGAGGACCCTTACGCCGGACTCTGGGCTTACCTGTCAGTCGAAGAATAGTAGTTGCAATGGCTTGTCCAAGCACATTGGTGGCCGTGCAAGAGTACGTTCCTTCATCGTCACCAGAAACATTCCTCAAGAGTAAGGAACCATTCGCGGAGGGGATAACGTGGCTTCTCAAGGAGCGGTTGTTCTTGAACCATGCCACCTCAGGCAGGGGAAGACCTGGGAATAAAATGGAAGACAGATCAACAGATCGAATCCACAACGCTCATTTTTGCAAGCCACATCTGCCTTTTCCAGCAGAACAGACCCTGTTTTAAAAATTAAGGGCGAAGTGGGTAGCAGGGGCATTAGGAGGGGCATTTGGGCCCCTAGGTGGACATGAAAGCCGTAGGTTGCATTTTAGCCACCTTTGCAATGCAGACACCGCTCTTAGTTATTACTTAAGCCCCCCCCCCAAAAAACAAACAATTTTTTTCTGCACCTGCCCAGCCACAGCTCCACCCTGACTTCACTGCCTTGCGCATCAGATATCCACACACGAGTAGGATAAAACAGGAGGTGGCCATGAGCGTTGTGTATCACAGCATGGTCTTGAGTCCATAGATGCTATAAGGAGCTCATTAAAGGGGTCGTCTTGCCATGCCACAGAGTAACAGGACTACGCCTTGGGAAAGAATTAGGAAAAAGTGGCGCTGCCCTAAAAATGGCGGCAATTCAAGAGAAGGTGATACCTTTTATTAGACCGCTAAAAAAAAAAGTCGAACAAACTGTGAGCTTTTGTGGATAAAATCCATTTCTGTAGGCTATGCACCACTATTTTCTGGATACTGCAGGAAAATTGTAAGAGTTGCAGAGAGAGGTGTGTGGCCTGAGCAGAGTTCAAAAACTGGCTGCAAACAGTTTTTGGGGAAGAGACACACCTAAAGCTGCCGACCCCCCGCCGGCCAATTCATCTTCCCTGGGAGGGTCTGCTCCGACGTGCAGCTGAACTCCAGGTTCTTAAGACTGACGTTTGCTTATTTCTTTGTTTGTTTGACCTGCTACCGGATTCTTTTAACTGGAAACTCTCTTAACTCGGGTCCTTTTGGGGAGCAAGGCGGCGCAGAAATATTTTAAACAAACAAACAAATAAATAAATAAATGAAACTGAACTTGGAAACTTCAGACAGCAACACCTTGGTTCCTCCCAAATTAAATCTCATTATTAAGCCAGGCTGAAAACTTTGGCCCTTTAAAAAAATTTATTCACAGATCATTTTTCAGAATTGCTTTGCATGCAATTTCTCCAAGAGGTGGAATGATCTTTGAGAGACAGAGTTCAGCATCTAAGTCAGAAGCTTAGCGCTTTTCCGTCCACACCTCCGGTTTTCTTCTCCATATAATGTAAACCAGACTTAATTTTTGGAACTCACCGTTTTTATGGAAAATAAAAGTGTCCATCAAAAAGCCATTAGAAACAAAATTGCTCTAGCAGGGCTGCCACAGGCAACTTGGTTCAAAAGACTGAGTGTTTTTTTTTAAAAAAGAGATTTAATAAATAAATAAGTAAAACGAACCAACAACCTATCGGAAGGAAGAACGGGCATGAGCTCCAGAAACTGTAAATAGTGAGGCGATAACAGCTCAGCTATATGAGAAGAAGATCTCTAGGAAATAGGAAGAGATTTTATGTCGAACCAGAGACTCTTTTGTGGCTGCCGATGAAATACTTTGGGCCAGAGTCCTGGCAGCCGCTCACAGCTTTTTTTTTCGGCTAGAGTTAAAATTCTTTATACATGCTATATTTTCCGAAAGCTACCCAGGAAAAGCTACTCACACTACACGTAGGTTAAGGAAACAATGCAAGGAGAGCCTGAACTTGTTTAAATCTCTGCCAGAAGTAAAAAAAAAAAAAAAAAAAGGCAGGAATCAACCACAGCCAAACAAAGAACCAAAAAAGTTACTAGCAAAACCCCATTATTAAAGGCCACAGTCCTGGGGCATTTAAGAGCAGTGGCTGCAACACCGCTGATTTCAGGAGTATTGCTGTGGACCCCCACCTTCGGGATTAACTTTAAAAAAAAGCAGGCACAGATCTTCACGTCTCTCCACGGCTCGGAACGAGGGTACCTGCTGGATTTTTCCCAACCATGGCCTGGTGTGGCCCAAGGCAGCAATGCACAGAAGGGACTCCAAATCCCATCAGCCCTCATTGCCACCTGTGCTGGCTAGGGTTGACCGGTGTTGTGATCTAGCAACGTCTGGAGGCCAAACCTACGCCCACTCTTACATGAAGATCATCTTTCATTGGCCTCTTGGGGCTGACATTTATTTTTATTTATTTAATTTGTACGTCACCCCGTAATCCACCCAGCGAGTGCTTTAAGCATGATGGGGGTGGCGTATAAGGCACACTTTAACCTGGGCTAAATAAATAGAGCCAGGATCCTGTCTGAATTCCTGCGGACGGAGGATGGAGCTAATGGGCCTTTGGTGTCCCAGTCATGCATTTGGCCCCCCGTGTCTGGTTCTACAAGTTGCAAACAGCAGAGGCACCTGGCCCGTTAGGCACATCTGCTCCCACATCTGGGAGCTGATGGTCTTAGGCTGCAGCCCTATGGCCTGTTGACTCAGATGTCACCTTGATTCAATGGACTCAGCCTGGACAAAGGACTGAAAGAGTTTCAAGGTAAAAAGAAGCAAATCTCTAGCGCACCCAGGCACAGTCTGCAAGCAGATAGAAAAGATGCATTTATCTCCTCCAAGCTTTTTGTCCTGTAGGGAGCCCATAAAGCAAACTCTGCTTAAATACACATTTTCTCCAGCCTTAAAAGCTTAGTAAAATATTACACACTATAAAAAGTTTTGGGTTACTAATTATTCACTCCCCCAGAATATTTTAGGATTTTATAAAGTATTCTGCATTTTCCATCCAAGAGCATCTACAAGCCAAATAAGAACAAAAGTGCCAGATTTGCTGGGAAATAATCCCAGCAGTATATATGCAGAACCAATCATTTCCCACAGAGAGGATTTGTTAATACTAAGAGAAGCCTTGCTGAAATAATATAGTCAAGAATCAGGAAAACTGGAGATGAGCTGTGAGAAACATTTGAAAAACTCCAAATTTGAGAAACCTAGAGAATATTTCAGAGTTATTGAAAAGCATTTAAAGGAACAATAGAACATCATGCACTTCTCATAGTTTCATCAGCAGATGGTGCCCCATGCACATTTTGTATAGCGTGGAAGCGTCCTTAAGCAGACAGCAGGCGACACTGTTGCGAAAGCAAGCTCAAACATTCCTCTTCCATCTAGTTCTGGAAATCTCAAGGAACACGAGGCATAAGGATGGAGGGGCTAGACAAACTGCCCTTTGATCAAACTAGAGATGGGCATGAATTGAAAAACAGATCTCCAAATTTGTTGAAAAAAATCACGAATTTGCCAAATTTGTTCTAAAATCACGAATTTCTATTCGTATGAATCATTGCCCCCCCCAAGGAACACGAATCCATGAAGTTTTCGCAATTTTTAATTCATTGATCTGTTGGACTATAAACAGCCTCAGGGCACCTAGAGACACCAAGCGGCAGAGAAACTTCCTCTGACTCTCCTTTACAATCTCTCTGAGTTTGGTGAAAATTAGACTTCAGATGTCCGAGTTATACACCCACAAAAGCCCCCCCCCAGGAAAGTTCCTCCCAGTTACCTAGAGAATCACAGAAGCCTACCATGACTCTCCTCTACAATATCTCCCAGTTTGGTAAAGACTAGATTTCCTTAAGCCAGCTGCTAAAGGGGGCTTTCCTGGGGGGACCCACTTTGTGTGTATATAACTTGAGTGCCTGAAACCGAATCTTTACCAAAATTGGAGGGATTGTAGAGGAGAGTCAATGAAAGCTTCCCTGTAATTTTGGTGACTCTAGGCACCTGGGAGGGGCTATCTGTGCGTGTATAGCTTGCAGGTCTGAAACGGAAACTTCACCAAACTTGTGTGGCTTGTAGAGTCAGTAAAAATTTCTCTGTAAATTTGGTTTCTCTATGTGTTTGGGGGGGGCTGTTTTATAGAGTTTTAAAGTAAAAAAAAACACACCAAATTGACAAATCGATTTGTCAGAAAAAAAATTATAAATTTGTAATTCGTCGACCTTGATTAATCACAAATCAAAACAAATCACCATTTTCCTGATCTGTGCCCTTCTCTAGATCAAACCTATGCAGCTGATGTGAACTCAGATTCCTCTTCACGGAGTGACGTAGACGGGGATGGGAAGACTGCAGGTTTACAGAGCCACTTTGTCAGCTTTATTGTATTGTCTAGCTGGACACTCCTGAGCACATCAGTGGCTCAACTTCACTGAGGTGCAGTTGTCCCTACTATGTCATCGGGAAAAAAGGGGGGGATGACTCCAGTGTGACTTTTCCTGATGCCTTTTCCCCCTTCTGCTTCATTTACCAATTAACCCTAAAAAAGTTCAGCCCAAGCTTGCAGATGTGACAG